TCCACTCACCTCAGCCTCCCAGAGGCGCGGGATTGCAGGCTGAGCCACCGAGCCCGGCTTACAGGACTATTTTTTTTCCTGTCAATTCATTTGAGTTCCTTTTAAATAGATCCTGGATGTTACGCCTTTGTCAGATGCATAGCTTGCAAATAGTTTTTCCCATTCTGTGGGTTGTCTGTTTACTCTTTTGGTGGTTTCTTATGCTGTGCAAACTTTTTGCCTTAATAAGTTCCCACCTGTCAATCTTAGCTTCTGCTGCATTTGCTTTTGACGATATTTGGCCATGAATTCCTTGCCTACTCTGATGTCCAGGAGGACATTCCCTAAGTTTTCGTCTAAGATTCCTATGACTTGGGGTTTCACATATAAGTCCTTGATCCAGTTTTAGTTAATTTTTGTATATGGGACCCAGTTTCATTCTTCTGCATGTGGTTAGCTGGTTTTCCCAGCGCCATTTGCTAAATATGGTATCTTTTCCATATTTCCATAATATTTGTTTTTATTGGCTTTGTCAAAGATGAGTTGGTTGAAGGTCTATGGTTTTATTTCTGGATTCTCCACCCTGTTCATTGGTCTGTGTGTCTATTTTGGTACCAATGCCATGTTGTCTTGGTTACTGCAACCTTGTAGTAAAGTTTGATGTCTGGGAATGTGATGCCTCCAGCCTTAGTCTTTTTGCTGAGGAGTGCTTTAGTTATTCAGGCTCTTTTTTGCTTCCATATGAATTTCTGTCTTGTTTTTTTTCTAGGTCTGTGAAAAATGATGTTGGTAGTTTGATAGAGAATGTGTTGAATCTGTAGATTAACTTGGGCAGGGTAGACATCTTGACAATAGTGATTCTTTCAATTCATGAGCATGGGATATTCTTTCACTTGCTTGTGTCATCCTTGATTTCTTGAGCAGTGTTTTGTAGTTCTAATTGTAAAGGTTTTCACCTCTTTGGTTAGGTGGATACCAAGGTAGAATAACCCCACTTTTTAAACTTTATGTTTTATGGAATTCTTTTATTGCAAAGGTAATATGCTACTTTGAACAAGTCAGAGAAAATTGAGGTATGCAAAGAAAAAGTGAATTCTCCCTCCTGTCTACCTTCCCAACCCCCTCCAGCACACACAAAATCAACATGAAATGTGAGGTGTGTGTTCTTCCACACTTTCTCCTTGCTCATAAAAACATATGCAAACATACATAGGAGAAATATTGCATTCCATTTTTCTAAAGCAAAATATCACACCTAGCTTCTTGCATGTGTCTGCCACAAGTAGACATTACAAACATCCTCCTAGATGGACAGAAATAGACCTGGTGCACAGTTCTCTGTCAGCTGCATAATGTTGCATAGCATGGACAGATCATCATCTACCCAGCTTCTCCTCCACTGAGAGGCATCCAGATGGTGCCCAGGTATTTTGTCAACAGAAGGGATGCTGCAATACATAACCTGGTAATATATTCTTATGTCCCAGTGCCTGTATTACCATAAAACAGAGTTCTCAAAATGCTACTGTCAGGTCAAAATGTATGCACGCCTTAATTTTAAAATAGTCATATTTTAATCAAAAAGTATATCTTCATAAAAATATGAATAAAAGTATAAGAAGAAGAAACACATAAGTAATTCCCCAATCTGGAGATGGCTGTTATGAACAATTTGCTAAATTTCCTTTCAGAGTGAGTTAATACAGTAGAGCTAGTTGCACTTTTTTACTTTAACAGACTCAGATCAAATTCCAGTCAAACTTATGGCCATTCACATTTCCATCAGGAAGGTGTGCAAACACCATTTCCCTACATTTTCTCCAGAGCTCTATCACAACCAAGGATTTTTGCCAACATAATAGAAGAAGATGGTGTGTTATAGTCATTGCAACTTCTATTTTCTTGACTAAAAGGGAGATTAAACACTTCTTGTGGGTTTCTTAGGAACATACCAGACTTTGAAATACGTGGAAAACAGAAACATCATTTGGTCATATTTGCTCAAGAATCATCTTACCGATTTTTGTTGTTCAAACATCAGTTTTTTGTAGAAGAGATGGAACTGTTCAAAGCTGAGCTCATCTTTGTGTGCACCTATTTCCTGTAAATATATATAGTTTTTAAAAGGTGACCAAATTATTTCTACAGCAACAGTAAGAATGCCTTCATGCTGTTTATAGAAATAAAATGACTCTACAATTCTGGCTAAACTCAAACTCTCTCATTCACATGGTTTGGGTTTAGAGTCTATTCTTCCTAATTCACCTGTCTGGAAGAATATACTCACAGGGACCCCTACCAAGTATGACCACCCTCACTGGGGTCAGAAAAGGGAAGTGTCTTGGCCTGTTTCTAAGAGCCATATGTCTCACACCTCCTAAGATACTCTCTTTGGACTTCTAAATCCCATATGTGTGGCATGCACATATAAATAAAACCCAATCAAGGCCTTGGAGTCAGACAGAGCTCAGCTTCAATGATTGCTTTAGGGTTTGGACAATTTCCTTGACCCTTTCACACTCACAGTTTCTTTATCTGTAAAGTGGGAGAACCAACACTACCCTGCTAGGGCTTCCCTGAAAACAAGCAAGATAATATCAACAAAATGTCTGGGTTTCTGGGTGTGGGAGCTCATGCTTGTAATTCCTAGCACTTTGGGAGGCTGAGGTGGGCAGATTGCTTGAGTCCAGGATACCGAGACCAGCCTGGGAAACATAGTAAAACTTCACCTGCACAAAAAGTTTTTTTAAAAACTTAGCCAGACATAGGGTACACACCTATAGTACCAGCTACCCAGGATGCTGAGGTGGAAGTATCACCTGAGCCCAAGAGGCCGAGGCTCCCATGGGCCACGATCACCATGATCATGCCACTGCACTCTGACCTGGGCAACAGAGTGAGACTCCCCACTCAAAAAAAAAAAAAAGCCTGGCTCAGTAAATACTTGATCAAGAACAAAATTTCAATTGTGTGGTGATCAATCAATGGTCAACATTTCTCCCATCTTGCTCCTCTTCTTAAACCCCACCCTTCCATTTTTCCATTTGTGGTTTAGTGGGGAAATGTTGGGGGCAGGGCAAAGGATGCCAGATAAGTGACAGGATGGGTTAGCTCTTCCATTAGTACAAAAATGAAGGAGCCTTGTCAGCTGAGGAATGCTGTGATGGGACTGGCACTGATGGACATTTCAGTCCTCTGACTGGGGCTGTTGGAATGGAGAATTGCTCATTTCCTAAGAAGAGTCAGTACCTCTGTGTGCAAAAAAAGGGTGCCCATGCGTGGTCTCCATCCTTGCCCCATTTGGAAAATCCTCATCCACTCCACTGTGTCCCAGCCCCACCATGGCTGGATTACACAAGAACAGAAATTAAAAGATGGATGGTTCAAAGGATGGATGACTGAAGGAGGAGGAAAAGAGGACCAACTCTGTCAACCACATTGCCAGGGCTTGCATACAAAATGTGATGGTGCCCCTGGTAACCTACCTAAGGAATCTTTCATGGCACTTTCCCCAAAACACACATGCTTTCATGTTACTAGGAAGAACAAAGGCTGTAGGATGGTCAGGGAAATGGGGAAAGCTGGACTGGTGGAAACAGACCTGAATTTAGACTTTCAAGTCAAACAGCTCAGTAAACATGGTCTTCGCTGATTATATCCTCTGCCAGGATCATGGATATGGCCCTAAGATATGTACAGGATTCCTCTAAGATGCACTCGGCCAACTGGTCGACCTAACCAATTCAGAGGAAAAGGACTAAGAGACAAAGGACTTTCCTGGGCACCATTCCACAGAGCTCAAAGGCACACCATGGCTTCAGGTGAGAGGCACTGGGTAGCTCTGAGTTCACAAAATTCCAAGGATGAGCTATGAAACTTACCACAAACTTATCTTTGAGGAACTTGGCGCTGCTCGCTTTGAAGTTGACCAAGGGCAAGATGGCCTTCAACTCTCGGAGGCTGATGCTGCAAAAAACAGAGACCCCAGCTCTGTCACCTCAAGCATCTCCCATAGTGGAGAGTGTAACTGCTCCTATCAGCTCCCACCACGGGCAGCCCTCTATGAGAAAACCTGGCCAATGGTCATTAGTGAGCATGAACTAGAAACATGACACTCTGGGTTCAAGGGGGAGACTGCATCCCAATGAGCCAGGCTGGTCTCTACCCTTCAGGGATGGCCATGGACACAGGCCATGTAGGAGAGTCACGGTGTAGGGTGGTGCCCTGATAAGTGGGGGCTGGTCTCCCCCCTGTAGGGATGGCGGTGGGCACGGGCCATGTAGAAGATTCTGCATGGGCGGAACATGGTGTCAGGTGACCACATAACCTCTACACAAAATGCTACAGGGATCTGGAAGGCCCGTGGTGGGTGTGGACACGATGTGATTTCTGCCCGATGCTTTGAATGTCAAAGTGAAATTCAGTGAAGCTCAGGGCAATAGTGAAACCTCATGAGTGACACGCATGAATGGACGAGCGAGATTCCCACTGTCCCTAGTGACTATCCAGTGAAACCACAGCCATAGCGATGGACTTGGTAGGATCAGTGGGGAAAGAAGACTCTGCTGAGCTCGACTCTAGTCTGGCATGTTGAGGAAGCATGAGAGGTGTCAAAGGGTACCCTTTGCCCCCCCAAAATAAATCATAAATAAATGTTTAATGCCACAGGGGCTCAGAGCAAGGTAAAGTCACTGAAAGCCAGAGATGGGGAAGTGGTAAGGAACAGACCCTAAGTGAGCACCTATTCTGTGCCAGGCTGCTCTGGGGTCATCCAGGCCATCATGTTACCTGACCCCTCACTATCGTCTACCCTCTACAAAGTACACGGGATTGACCCCAGCCTGGGTGACAGAGACAGACCCTGACTCAAAAAAAAATTTTTTTTTTAAATGTCCAATGCTCAAGATCATGCCCAAGATAACAGGATCAGAATCTCTGAGCTGTGCCCAGAGGGTAGGGAAGAGAAGATTCCTGCATTTCCCCAGCACTCAAAAGCACAACAGAAAAAAAAGAAAAGAAAAGAAAAAGCAGCATCAAATAGTGATAGTCTACAAACTCTGGTGCCATCCCAGACAAGCTGAGTTGCCGTAGTCAAGTTATTTAACTTCTCTGGGCCTCAATGTCTTCATGTAGAAAGTGGGCCCAAGAGCACCCAGCTCACCCATCAGTGAGACCGTTCCAGAAATGCTTAAGACGGTGGCAGGTGCAAAGCAAGTTCTCAGTCAATGATAGCCACTACCATTTTGTCTCTAGAAAAGTTAAGTGAAACAGGGTGCTTGGGCCAAGCAAAACACCTATAGTCCAAGCGTTGCCCAGGCTGGGACAGCCTGGAGCCTGCCTCCTCTCCTCTGCAGCCTTTCCTTTGCTTCTGTTGCTCCTTTGTTTTCCTTCAGGAAACGCGATTAGTTGTGGGCGACAGGAAAGGGAGGAGAGTTGGCAGAACAGAAGTTAGTCACTCTTTCACTGGCACCTCGGTCAAAGTTCCTTTTGAAAGACTCCCCTGGGCCTCCCAGAACCACGGGAAAGGTGGGATTTTCCACATGTTGACAGAGCAGCTGGGCTCTGCCCACTGGGCGGGGGGTGGCAGAGAAGTCAGTGAGCACGCAACAAGGAATTCAGTCCAGAGACAGGGCTTCCTCTCTGTGGAAGGTTCTGCACCAGCAAGGGAAGGATGGATCAATGTGAGGGGCTTGCCAGAATCCCTCCTGAGCAAGAGGGAGGTTTCTGATTCTTGACTTCCTCAATGGGGAAGGAGATTTCAGAACCAGATCAACACCCCTGTCCTGGCATCATGCAGACAGAGGCGCCCGGGATGGCTCTCTCTCTCGTCCCTGTGCCAATCTCAACTATGAATCACCATAAGCCACAGGGAAAGAAAACACTCAGAGAAGGCATCACCTCCGAGGCTGAAAGAGACCAGTGTGTCCAAAGTCCTCCAATATAAGGACCTTATTTGATCCACCTCAGTAACACCAGAGGGTGGCCCAGTGTGTGGGACCAGACAGGCATGAATGTCGGATGAGAGGAAGAGAAAGGAGAGAAAGGCAGGTGGGCAAAAAAACAGGGAGTAAGCTACCGGCTGACCTAACACAACTAGATTTTAACCACTTCCTGGCTAATGGTGCCAATTTCACCCATTAGAAGACCAGGGAAGTAGCCCAAGCCCTGAAGCCAACAAGGGATGAAGGACATTGGCCAAACACAAGGTCACCCTCAAGGTGGAAACTTTCAGGAAAAAATGTGACAGCTGGGAGACTTTAGTGATTGCCTCGCCTGTGATACTGACATATCTAAACCAAGAATGGATGGAAGGAAAAAAATTACCAAAACAACAAGGTCTCATGTGAGGCTAACATGAGAAAATGACTACAAAGAGCTTAGCACAGTACCTAGCATGCTAAGTGAGTAGATGCTTGATACACAGTAGTCTTTATCATTACATTATTAATAAAAACTGGGACCAGGTGTGGTAGCTCACACCTGTAATCCCAACACTTTGGGAAGCTGAGGCAGGAAGATTGCTTGAGCCCAGAAGTTCAAGAGCAGCCTGAGCAACATAATAAGAACTCATCTCTACAAAAAAAAAAAAAAATTAGCTAGGCATGGTGGCATGTGCCTATAGTCTTAGCTACTCAAGAGGCTGAGACAGAAAGATTACCTGAGCCCATGAGGTCAAGGCTGTGGTGAGGGAGGGATCAGAAGTGACAGAGTGATATTCCAACTCAAAAAACAAAACAACAATAACCAAAAAAAAAAAAAACACTGGATGATAACCCCCTCAAAAAAGAATAAGTAAAAGGATGTTCAACCTCACCCATAAAGAAATGCATATTTAAGTAAAAACACACTGTTGCCTTTCATCCATCAGATGACTCTAGGTCAAAGTCTGCTGATGCAAGGATTCATGGGAAATGGGCACTTTCTTGCACCACTGGGAGAAATATACATTGCTACCACTTCTAGCTAACAAACTATTAGACCTGCAAATGGTTGGCTTCGGGTATTCCACTTCTGGGAATTTATTCTACTTACGGCCAAATCTCACACAAGTTTACAAAAAGATTCAAAAGTTTCCATGGCAGAATTATTTACAATAATAATAAAGGACTGGAAGAAACTTTAAGTCCATCAACAAGGAAATGATTTCTGAAAGCACAATGCATTTATCTAAGGAAAGATCAAAACCACATGCTTATTTTTTTTAAAAGTCTGATCATAGCTGAGTGCACTGGCTCATGCCCACAATCCCAGCACTTGGGGAGTCCAAGGCGGGAGGATTGCTTGAGGACAGAAGTTCAATACCAGCTTGGGCAACAAAGTGAGGCCCCATCTTTACAAAAAAAATTCAAAAATTAACCAGATACGGTGGCACCTGCCTGTAGTTCAGCTACTTGAGAGGCTAAGGTGGAGGATCACGTGAGTCTAGGAGTTCGAGGCTACAGTAAGCTATGGCTACATCACTGCACTCCAGCCTGAGCAACAGATCAAAACCCTCTCAGGGAGGGAGGGAGGGAGGGAAGGGAGAGATGGAGGGAGGAGAGAGGGAGGGAAGGCAAGAAAAATCTGATAAAAAACAAAACCCAAAAAAAGCTAGCCAAGCATGGTGGAGCACTGTAGTCTTAGCTACTTGGGAGGCTGAGACAGGAGCATCACTTGAGCCCAGGAGGTCGAAGTTACAGTGAACTATGATTGCACCACTGCACTCTAGCCTGAATGACTAGTAAAATCCTGTCTCTTAAAAAAGGAAAAGTGGATGGCAGAGACTTAACATATCCTGAAAGGGAGCCTTCCCCAAGGTACTATTAAGTAAAAAAACGTCAAGTAAACTGAATGTGTGTCATCACATCACCCAACTCATCTCTGCCCAGCCCTTAGAACCACCTGGTTTATTTCTCTATGGTTGGTTTCTCTCCTGTCACAAAGTACAGGCTGGCACCATAGGGATCATGTTCACTACTGTATTCTCAGGCCATAGAACATGCTCAAATATTGGTGATGACATCCAAATGCCCTGTGGCAGAGATGTATTTCTGTGACTAGACTTGAATCTTTCACTGGAATGGAGGTTCCACCCAGAGGCAGAGGATTTTGTCACCACCAGTTCCAGCACCAAACATGGCATTTGTGATCAAACCTGACCCTGTGAGGGCATTGCCCACTGTAAATCATGCTCTAACCCGCTTGGAAGGTTCAAAGAAAGAATGAAAATCAGAGCCCAACATGATCAGAAGGAAACTGCAAAGAGATGAATGAATCTTACCTGTTTCTTCTGGTTTGATCCACAGAATAAATCTGCTTTCTCAGCCAACTGGAAAGAGACAAAAGAGAAAGAGAGGTAGAAAAGGTTAGAAAAGAGCCCAAGTCCAGCCAGACACAGTGGCTCACTAGCACTTAGAGAGGCAGAGGCAAGAGGATTGCCTGAGCCCAGGGGGTTGAGACCAGCCTGGGCAACTTGGTGAGACCTATCTCTACAATAAATCAAAACATTAGCTGGGCATGGTGGCACGCACCTGTAGTTCCATCTACTTGGAAGACTGAGGCAGAAGGATCACCCAGCAGGTGGAGACTGCAGTAGGATTGGGCACAAAAGAAACTGAACAAAAAAAGAGGGGTTTTACAACTTTCTAGAAAGGGCAGCTTTGGAAACAATTTTCTCCTTGTGATTGAAGAGCCCTATCTGAACCAAGATTTCAACTATAAAACAGTAGATCTCTGTGAATTGATAATTCCTTCTGACGACAGTCATTGATTTCTAAAAAGTTGGTAAGAAAAATGGTGCAAAGTGGAGGGCTTTAGTTTACTGGAATGAAAATAACTCACATTACAAGCCCATCCAGATACCCACAACATCAAAGAGACAGACCTGAAAAGGCCTTCATCAAGCCATGAGGGAGGGATAGGTGGAAAATTCCAGAACTTGTGCCCAACTGCTCTTTGACTGGCCCACTTAATCCCTAATTAAATCCTTGAAGAAGAAAGCCCTCCTGTTTTCCCCTGACATACAACACCAATGGATGCTTCTATCTCAAGTCCAGTGTACTGCTCTCTCCGATGGGCAAAGACTGACCAGCACAGAGAAAGACTCTTATTTGAAACAATGGAGAGTCCACAACACTATTGGGCACCCACTGTATACAAGACACTCACTGAGCCTCAAAGATGTAACACCCCATTTTTCTCTCCTTTAGCCCCTGAAGGCAGAAGAAAAAAAATAACAGAGCAAGTGTAGAGTAAACAGTCAAAAACCAAGTACCTCTCAATAATGGTGGGTGTGGATGCATTCATCGCTTCTTGGTGTAAGATTTTCAAGCCAGAGAGCCACTTGACTGCATCCTCTTTAGAGTCAGCTGGAGTGGGGGAAAGGAACAGAAATGCTGTGTTAATTTCTGGGAAGACTCTGCTGAGAGACTACAGTCCCACACAGATGGTAAAGATGCTCCGGTGAAGCCTGTGCTGGTTTCTAGTCGCAGGAGGCAAAGAAAGCCTCTCCTTCACACCTTCATGGTTCTGAGAGCTGTTTTCTGTCTGAGATGAGGCCACATACTCCTGATGAGCTTTCTACCACAGGGGTGAAAAGGGGTTATTTCCTGTGCCAAATGGAATCGGCTAAGAGTGGAGGGAGTGGAGGTAACTGTCACTACCATTACTACCGAACAGCAGCTAACATGGTTTAAGCACTTAGTATATATATGCCAAATACTGCTCTGAACGCTTTTCCTATGTTTTTCTAATCCTGAGCAATGAGCCCGCAAGGGAAGTACCATTATATTTCCATTTAACACATGGAGAGACAACATCAAAGACGGGTTCAGTGATGTGCCCAAGACCACACAGTTCACAGGGACCATTATGGACTGAATGTTTGTATCTCCTCAGAATTCATATGTCGAGGCCCTAATCCCTGAAGTGCAGGGAGGTGGTTAGGTTGAGATGAGGTAATGAGGGAGGCCTCCATGAAGGGATTAGTGTTCCTCTAGGAAAGGAGGAAGGGAGGAAGAGAGACTAGCACTCCCTCTCTATCCAAGCACACACTGAGGAAGGGTCATGTGAACACACAGTGAGAATGTGGCTGTCTACAAGTCAGAAAGAAAGCCCTCACCATAACTGAATCATGCCTGCATCTTGACCTTGGACTTCCCAGTCCCCAGAACTGTGAGAAAATAAATGTCTGTTGTTTAAGCCACCCAATCTATGGCATTTTGTTTTAGTAGCTGAAGCCAACAAAGATAGCAGAAGATACAGAATTTTAAACAAGAGTTCATTCTCTTAACCTGATGGCACACTGACTCCAGGAACGAAAAAGGTGAGGAACTCAGGCCCAGGCGCTGATTCCAGAACAGGGATTCTCAATCTTGGCTACTCAGGAGAATCACTTGGGTGAGAATTTCAAAGGTCCAATGCCTAGGTCCCACCCCCAAAGCAATTAAACCAGAAGGGAGGCGTGAGGAAGACAATAGGTAGAAACTCCCACATGGTGCCAATATGTATCCAAGACTGAGTGATCAGTTCCTTCTGCTGCTATGATAAATGACCACAAGTTAAGTGGCTTAAAGCAACACAGATCTATTCACTTATAGTTATTGAGGTCAGAAGTCTAAAAGTAGTTGGCTGACTGCATTCCTTCTGGGAGCTTTGGGGTATAGAATCTGTTTCCTTGCCTTTTCCAGCTTCTAGAGGCTGCCCACACTCCTTAGCTCATGGCTTCTCCTCTCTTGGACCTTTGTTCCATCTCCTTCTCTGACTCTGACCCTCCTGCTTCCCTCTTGTAGAGACCTGTGACTACACTGATCCCATGCAGATAATCCAGGATATTCTCCCCATCTCAAGATGGGAAGATGGGGAGAAGCTTAATCACACCTGCAAAATCTCCTTGTCCACATCAGATCACATTCTTGGAAGTGCAGGGATTCAGATGTGGGCATCTTGGGAGGGCATTATGTGGCCTCTCATGGATGAGAACCATGGGCTTTGGACTTTAGCTTTTTGTTTTGTTTTGTTTTGTTAAAGAGTTTTTGCTTTTCACCCTACACTCATGAATATAAGATGCAGGGCTTGCAATAATTTGTACCCCAGTCCTGAGCAGCTGTGGGCATGTCCCCTGTTTCCAACCAAGGTGAGAGAGAGGGGTGTACAGCAGGTCATGCTGATGCCCATGAGGGAAGCAGCAACAAAGGGTGGTTAAGAGCTTGGCACCTGGCAGAGGACGATCATGGCTCAAGTCCTACGGCACCATGTCAGGGCGCTGTGTGACATTCGGCAGGTTACTTCAACCTACTCTCTGCCTCCTTTCCTCATCCATAAAAATGGAGATTACAGTGCAAGCACCTCATCAAACTATTAAACATATCCCTGACCAGTCGAGAGGGGGATTATACCTATAATCCTAGCTACTCAGGAGGTCGAGGCAAGAGGAAGTCTTGAAGCTAGGAGTTCCAGACCAGCCTGGGCAACATAGCAAGACCCTATCTCTACAAAAATGTCTTTTAAAAAATTAGTTTGGTGTGGTGACACACCCCTGTAATCCCAGCTACTCGGGAGATTGAGACAAGAGGATTGCTTGATCTGAGGAGCTGGAGGCTACAGCAAACCATGATCACATCACTGCACCGATCACATCACTGCATAGCCTGGGCAACAGAGCAAGATCCCATCCCCAAAAAATTGATAATAATAATAACCTTGTAAGTTCCAGGTGCCTTGTTAGTCCATACAGTAGCATACGAGCTTGCCACTTTCCTTATTCCCACCCGGAGGAGGAGAAAACTGAGGCTTAGAAGAACTAAGAGTTTGTCCCAGGATCAGTAAGTGAGAAGCTGGGATGTGAGTCAAGGTCTCAACTATCACTGTCTGACCTTGAATTTAGGGCTCTAGAAGAAGGATTCCAGAGTGGGGCAGACACTGGCATCCTGGGCTGCAAGCCTCAAGCTCTTGTGGTATTTTTTTACCAAAGAACAGCAGTCAGGATTCAGCTGCACGTACATGGGGCTGAAGGGACAGGACTGTGAAGGTTCACGGTCGTGGGGGCTTGCTCCCCTGCCCCATCTCTATTGCCCCCGCCACACCATGAGTCAGACATTCGCTCTTCACTTCCCTCCTCCAAACCCTAGCATGTGCCAGGCTCACTCCCTGGGCTGCCTTTCCTCTTTCCTCCCAACTCCTACTGATCCTCAAAATCCTAAAAGTCAACTTCTCTGAAGGGAGGCACTCTGTACTCCTACAGCACACTGGATCATGTTTGCACTCCAGCTCTTATCTCAGTGTACAGTAAGCACCTGTTTACATGTCTGTCTCGCCAAGTAGGCAGTGAGCTCCTTAAAGGCAGCACTGGGGCCCCATTCATCCCCACAGCCCACTCGTGTCTAGCACAAGCCAGCACAAGGAATATGCTCAAAAGATGCTTGAGGAAAGACTGAATGAGAAATTAATAAAATGTACTTGGTCCTAAACAAAACATCCTTGTACTGCTTGGCTTTGTTTCCTGCACTTTGGTCTGCTTTAATAGTACGTGTTTTGTCTCTCATCAGTCATGACCATACGTGCACTCCTCAGTCAATATATTCTAGAACTAGACCAGAAAGTTACTACAAGCTTCCACCCCTCAGGAAAGTGCCTGAGCTTTTTCAAGGCTCTCCTTCTCATCTCCAGAGGGCTCTTCTGCTTTTTGGTGGATTCCCAGGGCTGGCTAGAGATGTCACCTCCAGATGCATGTGTTTGTGCGTGTGTGTGCAAGCATACTGCTTGTGTTTGTGCACATGTGTGTGCTGTGGGTGTGCATGCATGTGTGATGTAAGACCTCAGGACAGTTTCTTCAGATCAGTGTCAAGTCTGCTGAACAACATGTGCTGGGGGAGGACAGCTTAAGCTTTTTGTCCAACAGAGCCCAGTCTTCAGTGACGAGACCATCATCTAACCACCATTTATTCAGCACTAGGTGTGAGCCAGACACTTAACATATGCCTCACAACACCTCCCCCAAGAGACAAGCACGATTGTTCTCCCCATTCCACAGCTGAGCAAACTGAAGCTCAGAGAGGTTAAATCACTTACCTAAAGACACATAACTGGAAAGGGGTAGGACTGGGATCCAAAACCATGATGTCCCAAAAGGGCCTGAGTGGGCAGATGGGTGTGAGCATCCTGCTACTAGAGAACATCAGAAGGAAACTGAGTCACGGGGAGAGAGAAAAGCACAGGAGCACGCACCTGCCAAACTAAGTGTGCTGAGGACGAACTGAGTGCCATACAAGATGGTAAAGCAGCAGTCTTCTTTCTGGCGAACTGCTTTTGCACGCTCAAAATCCTTGGAATTCTTCCCTGGACGGATCTCCTTTATTTCCGTGATGTCCACTGAAAGGAAATTAACGAGTCAATCAGAAGCTGGAGTTCATACCACCCCACCCCCGCTCCCGCCAGGATGCAGCCACATGCCTGTCGCCCAAGCACATCCCACTCCTTTCTTCCCCAGAAGGGAACCGCGAGGCCATCTCTGCATCTGGACCCCATCCAGGCCCAGAGCCCACTCCTTCTGGAAGTGGACAGAAGGCCAAGACCAAGAGACTACACAGGCATTTGCTGCCATCCCACAAGCCACTAGGGTATAAAAGGTTTGGGGTTTCCCCTCACACCGTTCCTGAGACAAACATATTTTAAATGCAACTCAGCTTTGAGAAAAGAAGCACAGAATTATGCTACCAAAGCAATAGACCAACTTGATGCTCACTGCAGACCACTCTAGGCAGCATGAAAGGTCCAACTGTCCTACTGACTTTGACCTTGAGTCTCAAAAGCCACAAGCACTCTCGGACTCAAGTCAAGGGGCAAAATAAAAAGAAGGTACCGAATAATTGCTTTGTAAAAAAGGAGGCCAACCCTGAGTGGAGGATGGTCACAGGGATTCCAGAGACCACAAGGCTGATGGGGAGAGGATGAGAGGATGGAAGACTGCGAGTCTGGTGACCCCTAATGAGCCACAGCTTCTGGTATTTATGCTTCCTGTAGCCACCTGACCCTTGACTCGAGGTTATCTCTGTGATCTGCTTTAACTAACAAAATGTGGCATAAATGATGCTGTCCGGTTTGGGGTTTAACCCTTAAGAAGGTCTGGTAGTTCCGGGGGAAGTCAGACCCATGTAAGAAGTCAGACTACCTCGAGGCACCCATGCTGTGAGAGTCATTTGGAGAACAATTAAGGCCCCCAGCCAACTGCCAGCAGGAGACTGCACCATCTTGGAAGTGGATCCTCTGGCCCCAACAAGCTGTCCCAGCTGACACCCCATGAAACCAAGACAAGCTCTCCCAGCCCCAACCCCTGCCCAGACTGCAGCAACATGTGCAGCAGATAAATAAAATGATTGTTGTTTTAAGCCACTAAATCCTGGAATAGCTTGTTGTACAGCAATCGATAACATAACAAAGAGGAATTTCATCCTCCCTGCACTGCCTATTGCCAGGTGACTCCGCCCACTCTCCTGATCAAAACCTGCTGGGCCAGGATGGCCACCTGACCCAAAGGTGACTTCCCTCCCCTCACAAGATGACGAGTGAACTATGGACTGGCCCAAAGACAAGCTCAACTAGTCCAATCTTTCCCTTTCTTCTGCCAAAAAACAAAAACAAACACCTATTCGTGAAGTGGACCCATTCCATGTTCTTTAGCTACAGCTGCCTCACCCCTTGCCAACTTCAACCACAAGTCAAAGAGGAGAGCAGAGGAATAAGTGGGAATGACTGACGTGTTCTGGCTCCATGGTTGATTCAGGGATAAGCACACAGCCCAAGTCGGGCCCATCAGCATCCTCCTGTGACTTATTTGGCCAGAGCTACTGGTAAAACCTCCCCTCCACTGCTGTTGCCAAGGCTGGTGAAATATGAGTCAGGGGGTGGCAGGAACCACCTTGTCCACCACGTAGAACGGATATCAGGCTCTGATATACCATCGGAATGCCAGTATTCTTGGAAGTGAGACCGAGGAAGGAGCTCTCAACTTTCCATCAAGAGGAGGTGGCTGTGACCTGGGATTAAGGAAGAGGACAGACCCCAGGCAAGGCAGGTGAGAAAAGGCATCTCAGAGTCAGTGTGGAACCAGCAGGAAAGGCTCCTGGCCATTCAGGCAATGGAAGTCAGAGGGGACCGCAGAGAATGATGTCAGAGGAGAAAGGGGGTGGGTTGCACTCAGCTTTCCAAGTTCTCACCATGAGTCTAGCTCAACTGAAAACAGTTTAGGGGACAAGAGTCTCATGAAAAGACTAAATAGCCAGCATCTGTTCTGCATTCTGTGTATGCGTGGTGGTAGATACGCTTACCTGCACATGTGATAAAATCTCATAGAACAACACACCAAAACAAAAGTAAACAACACAAATGAGTGCACATAAAAAACGGTAAAAGCCAGTTAGGTCTGCAGTTTCATTTTCAGGACCAGCATCCATGTCCTGGTTTTGACAAGTATGTTATGAAAAATCTTATCACTGGGGACAGCTGGATGAGTGGGCCCCAGAAACTGTTCTATTTCTGCCACGTCCACATGAATCTAAAATCATTCCAAAATAAAAATGCTTTAAAATCACATATCAGTTATGGGTGGCCCCATGATTAGGGGAGATCATATCTCCAAACCTGAGGGAAGGATAGAGAAATTGGAGTGGAGGGATGCATCCCTGTTCTTCACCCAACCCAGAAACCTACAAATCTTCTTTTCTCTTTTCCTTCACTTCTCACAAACAACAATGACAACAACAACAAAAACAGATCCTTTCTGTGTGCTGGAATCCATTTCTAGAAGGACATCAACACTGCAGATATAACTGCTTCAGCAATTATCTGGAAACTTTAAAGGTATTAAGGTTTGTTTTCAAAAATTGTTTCAAAAAATTAGTTATTCACCTACCTTTTGACTGCCAAAGTCTAGTGACTTTCAGCAAATATGATTTTCTATCTAGTCTAATAATTCTCTTTCCCTATCAAATTCTAGGAGGTTATCTCTAAACTGGGCAACAGTGAATGTTTTCCCCTGAAGCAAAATTATCTATACCTAAAAAATTTTTCAGACAATGTAACCCGGTCTTCTAGCAATCACCAAGCCTCATCACTTCTATGACTAAAATTGCTCTGGAATCTGCTAATATCTACCCATTTCCATGGCTAACACCATAATCCAAGCCACCACTGTCTTGCTTGTCCACAGAGGGAACCTCCTGGCTTGTCCCCTCGTACCACTGTGTTATCCCCAGAGTCATCTTATGAAATGCAAACCTGCCCATGCCACTCCTTGGCATCAAACCTTCCCGTGGCATCCCACTGCTGTTGGGACTAAAAACCATGGCCCTGTGATGGACCCCCCCCAGCCCCATCTGGCGCAATTGTGTGTCCTTACTTCCCATGATCCAGGCACATGGTCCCCCCCTCCCAGAATCTCAAGTGCTCATTCCTACCACAGGACATTAGCACGTGCTGTCAGCTCTACAAGAAATGCTCTTATCCTGGTTAGCTGCAAAACCTCCTTTCTAGTATCAGCTCAACCACCATCAAATTCAATCCCCCCTCCCCATAATTCCTGCTATGATCCTCACTGAACACCTCTCCTCCACAGCCCTCAATGGAGGCAAGTGCTCATCAGAATGAATCCACAGATTCATAGCTCTCTCTCTCTCTCTCCTTCTCTCTCTCTCTGGACTGGAAGTTCCATACAGAAGATATTGTGTGTACTTCCTCACCACTGCAGCCCCATCCCCAATACAGTGGCCAGCACATAGTGGGGCCCAATTAGTAGTCATTGAAAGAAGAAGAGGACATAGAGAGATGGGGCAGGAGAAGAAAATAAACAAGGCCCCTGGTCCCAATGGAAGAACGGGCTTCAGTCCATCTCTCAATATCCTCTTCTTCATTCAAAAACTACTTATTGGATATACAGAGATGGGTTCTCTATATAGAGGATATCTGGAGAAGAGGATATAGAGAGATGAGAGGATATAGAGAGAACCCTAATTTCTCTATCCTCCCCTCAGGTTTTGAGACATGATCTCCCCTAATAATGGGGCCACCCATAATTGATATGTGATTTTAAACCTTTCTATTTTGGAATGATTTTAGACTCATGTGGACGTGGCAGAAATAGTAGTTTCTGTGGACATCTAGGCCAAACTACTAGAGATGAGACAAAGAAGGGAACAGAGAAGAAGGACAGAGGAGAAGTCAGGGGAGACTGAGAGCCACACACAAGGTAAAAAACAGACCAGATGCAGAGAAGGACAAGCCACCTAGACAAAGAGAGAGAGAAAACACACACACATACAAAGACGGAGACAGAGCCAGGTAGGAAAGAGAATGAAATGCACACAGCTCCACTACTGACATGAACTGGCCTGCACATGTACATACCGCCTTTCACTTCAGTGCAAACAAGCACCCTTTGGAAGTCAGTCCTGCCCCAGGAGAGAGCCACAGGCATCCACCCTCATCAACCAGGACTGGCTGCCTTCATGACATCATCCTGACCACCTCCCTCTTTCTTCTCCCCAGGTAAGTATTGATGACCTATTCCTCAAACTTCTGTCAAAACTATCCTTTCTCCATTGAGTGGCCTTTACTCCTTTGTCAAAGATCAGTCAATGCTATTTGTGTGAGTCTGTTTCTGGGCTCTCTATCCTGTTCCCCAGATCTAATCCTCTTTTCTTTTACCAATAATCACACTGTCTTGACTACTGGAGCTTTAAAGCAAGTCTTGCAGCTGGGTAATGTCAGTCCTCTGGCTTTGTTCTTCAATATTGTGTTTGCTACTCTGAGTCTTCTGTCTTTCCATATCAACTTTAGAATCAGTTTATCAATACCCACAGAATACGTTGCTGGGATTTTGTGACACTGTGGTTTATAATGAGATACACAGTCTTCCCTCAGTATCTGTAAGGGATTGGTTCCAGAACCTCTCACAGATACCAAGATCTGCAGATGCTCAAGTCCCTCATGTAAAATGGTGTCATATTTGCATATGACCTATGCATATCCTCCCATATACTTTAAATCATCTCTAGATTACTTATAATACCTAATACAATGCTATATAAATAGTTATTATGCTGTATTATTTAGGCAACAATAACAGGGGAAAAGTCTATACATTTTCAGTAAAGACCTTTTCTCCCAAATATTTTCAATACACGGTTGGTTGAATCCACAAATGTGAAACCCACAGATATGGAAGACCAACTGTATATATTTGGTCTTCCTCCCATTTCCTGGCACACAATTCCTAAAACCCTTGGGACCGCTAAAGCATTAAGTGTCTTTTTGTATGGATAGGGGCTCCTGGATAGCCTCTGTCTAGGGGCTGGTTGCCAGGGGAACCAACTATG